TGCGTTTCTGTGTCTCATTTTGTTAGCAGTGCCAGACAACGTGTCCAGCTGGACCACAGGGACTGCCCGGTCTGCCAGGAATGAAGGTGAGTTCCCAACCTTAAGTATTAAAAACAACCAAGAATAACCTGGCAACTGCAAACAATCACCAGGCAACCACTTAACTACTGTACTCCTACTCTGCTGAAAAATCAAGCTTAAACCAGCCTAGGCAGTTTGGCTGGTTTTAGCTGGTTGACCAGTCTGGTTTTAGAGGGGTTTCCATGCTGGTTTCCAGCCATTTCCAGCCTGGTCTTAGCTGGTCAGGCTGAAAATTTCCCACCAAATCCAGCTAAAACCAACTTGACCAGCCTGGTTTATACTGTGCATGGCTGGTTTTAGCTGGCTAGGCTGGTCAAGCTGGTTTTACCTGGTCATCACCCAGCCTGATCAGCTAAGAAAATGGCCAAAAAAAAACAGGCTGGTCGACCAGCTAAAACCAGCCAACCAGCCTAGGCTAGTTTAAGCTGGATTTTTTTCTGGGTAGTTGTCACTCATCACCTTAGCATCCAGTTAACACAAAGCAACCCCTATACAACAACCAAGCAACAACTGACAAGCAATTGTCACCTTAGCAACCAAATATTAAATATAGTTAAAATTGTATAATATAAAAGTAACTACATTAAAATGTTAATAAATAATGCATTCCTGGGGACATTTCTGAAGTTATGTTTACTTGTTTTGCACAGTCTAAAAGCGCTCGTCAGAGTAGATCACATCATTTTACTCACAGAAGAAAGTCTCTTTGGCCAAACACCAACTACTTTTCTAATGAATGAGTGTGTTATTAAATTGAATCTCTCTGCCAGGGACATCGTGGTCTTTCCGGTGTGGACGGAGTGCCAGGCATTCAAGGTGAAAAGGTAAAAGTTTTTCATAATATTCTTGAGAACGGCAGAAACCACGAAGCAGCGACAGACAAACACTTTTGAGCTTTTAGTCCACAAACACATTCCTCATTTTCAACATTTCTCTTTATTAACAGGGAGACAGAGGGGCCGCTGGAGAGCCAGGTCCTGCTGGACGGCCAGGAGATGACGTATGAAAGATTTCTGTTCGCTGTTTGTAGACTAAAATTAATAAAATAAATAAATTAATATTTTCTGTCATTTAGTAGACATGTTATTAATGATGCAATGATTATAGATTTTGGTGGAACCATTATAGTCTGAGAAATGATCCCGCTTTTCACGATTATTATTCATTAATTTCAAATCTCTACTAGTTTAGTAAACATGAAAAATGAAAACTCCTTATATTGTTCCTTATATTTTATTTTAATAATAAAAAACAAACAATAGTCCATTTCTCTTTGGACTTAAAAATAAGTGAAAAAAGTTTTATATATATATATATATATATATATATATATATATATATATATATATATATATATATATATATATATATATATATATATATATATATATATATATGTTTTTTTTTTTTTTTTATAAAAAAAAAAAAAATATATATATAGATATTTTTTTTTTTTTTTTTT